TTCTTTTTTTTTTTATTTTTTTTAACCCTTTTCGTTTAAAACTTTAAATAAATCCAAAGCCCACTGTAGCTGAAAAACCAACTCTTTGAGTCATAAGATGCATGTTTTTCTGTTTAAATTATATCCTGCTTCCATAGTTTATGGCCACCGTAGTTTGTTTTCCTGAAAAACACCTTTTTTGCAGACATCTCTGAAGAGATTCTCCTATAATCAGTGGCGGTTCTAGACCAAATGTACCAAAGGACAAGGAGGGGGCCAACATGTTTTCATGGGGGATTAGAAAAGCATGAATTAAAAAACAGGGCAAGAGATTCAAATATATTAAGATAGCTGAAAGAACTGACATTTTTATTCAGTTAGGTTTAATTAAAATTCTTATTAGGTCAATATACATTCAGGATTTTAGAATTAAACATATTTTTGAATTAATTTAAGTTAAAATAACCGTTTTCTATAAAGTCTGAATTAAAACTCAAGAAAAACTGATAAATTCAGCTTTAAAAATTAGAGTATCTTTTTTTATTTGTTTTGAAAAAAAAACATTTAGCAGATGAAAACTGGGATCCTATCTCAATACTACTGAAGCTATCACCTTATTATTTTCAAATAATTAGTAAAACTGAATTTGTAAAGAAAAAAATGAAAGAAATAGATCCAAAGAATCAGTAACCATGTCTGTTTTGGTGCATATCATCATTAGAATTTCTTTGATATTGTCTTTTCTTTTCTAACTTTCTTTGAGTTACTTTAAAGTACAGTGGCCAGTACATGATCTACAGGGGTACTGGCCCCCGTTGGCCCCTGTCTAGAACCGGCTATGCCTATAATGCAGTAGAAGATTTGTTCCTAGCCAGTGTTTGCTAAAGTAATAAAAAGGCAGGAGTAAAAGCAGCACAGTGACAGCTGGCTAAATGGTGATATTTGCACGTTACAGGTGAAGGACTGGCAAACACTGTGAACAATAGATTTGTTTTTCACCAATGCTGACATGTCCATCATCTCCAGGTGAAATACAGAGACGCTAAAAAGGAGCTTAACACCAACCTGTACTCTCAGCTGCCAGAGACGGACCAGATGAAGTTTGCCAAAGCTGTCATGGAGCTGCAGAGTGAGGTAGGGGGAAACTCCTGTTTTTAATGGGAGTAAAGCTTCATTTCACTCTATTAATGTGATTTTTTTTTTAATCTTGTGTTTTTCCAGAACAAATACAAGCAGAAAGGAAGGCAGGAGATCAGCAGTACTGTTTTCCACCAAATGCCTGAAACCAAGGAGATGGAGTTTTTCAAACAGATCTCAGAACTGCAGAGCGAAGTAAGACGGGGGACAATATTTCTGCTCAGATTCATTTAGCATAAAATCTGATATTTGCAAAATGTTTTAATGGTATTAACACATTTTTTCTTTTTACTTTTTATTTGTATTTTTCTTGAAAACAAACAAACAAAGGTGCACTGCTCAAAAGAGCATGACAAATATAAATAACTGAGACTTCAAACCTTTTCTTATATTCATGCCAATTAGACCTACGTTGCATAAAAACATGTCCTCTTAGCCATAGAAAGTAAGTCTGTCTCTCCATTGAATATATATTTTTTTATATATATTGTATATTTTTTTATATATTTTTTTTGCCAGTTTCTTGTAATAAACTTTTTCGACGCAGTCATTAGAATTTTGAAGAGGTATCTGTCATTTGTTGGGAATGACTCCATGGGTAGCAGACCCAACAGAAAGATCTTGGGATCCTTAGGAATGGCATAAGCAAGATTTCATCTTGTGGGCTTAGAGATACTGTCCCAGAATGACACTATAACAACTATTGCTGCAACCAACAATTATTTTGCAATTCATATAATCAGTTGATTATTTTTAGGATTAATCGAATCAATCGGATAGTATAATGTTCCTTAAAGAAGACTTTTTACAAAATTAAACCAAGTGAAACTAAAACAATTCCATATTAACGTAGTGTATTGACAGAAGAAAAAGCTTTTTTATCTTAAATGCAAAATGTTTATATATTTGTTTTACGATATTGGATGTAATTGCTGCACAAATTACTAAATTAGTTGACAATTATTGCACTAATCGATTAATCACGAAGAAGAATTTGTGAACTTGTGTTGATTAGCCCTAACAATAATGAAATTAAAATCCAAATACAGGTAATAGTTAAATAAAAAAGTTAATATCATTTCCCAAAATATTCATAAGAAATTTATAAATTGTGCAAAGTATTTTTAATACATTTTTTTCTAAATCTCGCTCTCGCCACATACAGTGTGTTGTTTACAAATTAATTTTAATGTTAACTTTTGGCTTTTTTTTCTATTGTAGTCAAAGTATAAAAAGGACTTGGAGGATTTGTCCAACACTCTGTACTCGCTGCTGCCTGAAACTCAGCAGACACAGTTTGTTAAAGAGATGGGAGAGACTCACAGTGAGGTATGTTCATACAATACAATATTATTTAGGTTTGTTACTATGAGAAACAAAGAAACTAAAATAATATCATGATGTTTACCTGAGAGGTCTGTTTAATGTAATTAAATTAATGTAATTGCAGACTAAAAAGAATATATAAAAGTATACTACTAATAGTTATGAGTATCATATCAGTATGAGTATGTACGTATATCAGTTAAACTGCCTTAAAATGTATTCTTTAGGTAAAAAGAGAACAGTGTCATCGGCAAATGTGTTGACATGTCCATGTTTAACTGGTTTATTTTTTATTTTTTTTGCAATGAACTTAACAAATAAAAAATCTATATTTCTAAGCAAAACAAAAAACAAAAAAAAACAGAGACTAGTCTATATGTATAGCACAGTTTAGTACATGGCCAATTCAAAGTGCTTTACATGAATTAGAGAATACATAAAAAAATAAAAGCAGAATAAAAGCAAATAAAGATAAAAAAAAAAATGAAAACAAATAAAGCAATTGGACCACAACCTTCAACTAATAATACCTCAGTTAACAGTATAACTTCAATAGTCAAAGGCAGCTCTAAACTAATGGGTGTTTAACTTCAAAGAACTCAGCCTTTCAGCTCTTTTCCAGTCATCTGGGAGTTTGTTCCAGATCAGTGGAACATAGATGCTGCTTCTCCGTGTTTGGTTCTAGGTCTGAGTGGACAGAGTAGGCTGGAACTAGAAGACCTGAGTGGTGTGGGAGGTTGATCCACTGACAACAGGTTTTTTATGTATTGAGGTGCTGATCTATTCAGTGATTTCTAGACTAACAGAAGGATTTTAAAGTCTATTCTCTGAGCTACAGGAAGCCAGTGGAAGGAGTTTAGAACCAGGCTGATGTTCTCTACTTTCTTAGTTCTAGTGAGTACGCAGGCAGCAGAGTTTTGGATCAGCTGCAGCTGTCTGATGGATTTGTTAGGCAAACCTATGAAGACACTGATGCAGTAATCAACTCTACTAAATATAAATGCATGAATGAGTTTTTTTAGATTGGAAATTAGTCCTTTAATCCTGTAAATGTTCTACAAGTGATAAAAGGCTGACTTAGTAACTGCCTCTGAAGGTTCAGGTCTGAATCCATCATGACACAAAGATTTCTGCCATAATCAGTAGTTTCTAGCTGTATTAGCTGAAGCTGTGAGCTAACTCTGGATCAGTGCTCCTTAGGTCAGAAAAGCATTACTTCAGTTTTGTTTTTATTCAGTTGGAGATAAAATGGCTATTTGACAGCTACCATTGTTAAAGTCTGAGGATGTTCAGTCCTCACCATCCCCTTGGACTCCATCTTCCGCTTCATTTTCCTCGTTGATGAGGCATCAGGCTCAAATATTTAAGGCAGCAGCTGCAGGACCAGTTAATCGATTGGATTCTGTTTGTCATCTGTTTAAATATGCTCACTCAATGATTCATAAAAAATCATTGAGAAATCGCTATTGGACCGTTTCAGTGTGTATATCGGCCATGTTGGCTAGCCAATGTCCCGGAATGACATCACACTTCCAGGTTTGGTTTGGACAAAAGAAAATGAAGCAGAAAAAACTTTTTTTTTCTTAAAGAAAAGTTTGTTTTTAATCACTAGTATCTGAATATCTACCGACTCTAGCATAGATCTCTTTCAATAAAACATTTCACTCCATTTTTAACTATAAAATTATGTCTTATTTTGTCCTTGTAACCAATGCAGGTAAACAACAGTGAATAAATAAAAGTCACTATTTACAGTATTTTCACATTAGATGATACATTTTTGCTCCTGGTGGTATTTTAGCATAGCTGTCAAATCTCCGCCTTTGGCTTGAAACTACCGTGTTTTTCTCCTGTTTCCCACACTCCTCACATATTAGCAGTCTCCCTTAGATTCCCTGCATTATTGGATTATAAAATTATATAAAAAAAAACATTGATCTGCCTAGCTAGCTTCTGATCAAGTTACTGCAGTTTGCAATTCATTGGCAAGTGTTTATTTTAGATTTGTTGTTCATGTCTTGAAATATAATAGATACTATAGCCTGGATGCTTTAGTCGGAGGGTTCGCAGCGAATGTCATATAATGTCCCTTATTTTCAAATCTAAACCATGATAGGTATGAAATGTGTTTTTGTTTGTTTTCTTTCAGAATAAGTACAAGGAGGCCAGTAAAAAGGAACTGGTTCAGTCTCTGTACTCCCACCTTCCTGAAACCAAAGAAACTCAACATGCAAAGCAGCAATCTCAGCTGCACAGTGAGGTAGGTTCAACCCACGCCTCCTTTCCTCATTCAGTTTTATATCTGCTATTTCTATTTGTCCTTTATTGTGTCTCACATTTAAATACATTTTCAGTCATCTCAAATTCTGTGACTAAAATGTTTCTGTTTTTACTCAAACTGCTGTAAAAGGGATTCATAATTATATTCTGCACTGCAAAAAAATGTAAATCTCAATTAGTTATTTTTTCTTAAATAAAGTGCATTTTTCTTCAATTAAGGAGGTAACTGCAACACTTTGCCAATCAAATAAGAAAATTTACATTTAAAATAAGACAAAAACTATCGCATTGTCTTATTTCAACTGTGTAATATCTAGTTATCTTATTTTAAGAGTTAAAATACTCATTCCATTGGCAAATCATCTTATTTACCTACTCAAATTAAGGGTAAAAACACCTACTTTTAGACTTTTTTACTCATTTTTAGATCATTTTTGCAGTGTTTATTAAGAGTTTTTTTTTTATAAAAAAACTGGAAGAACATTCTAGAAATAAGTAAAGATTTCTTAAAATAATTGTATTAACGCTTAATTTCAGTAGGTAAATAAGATGATTTGCCAATGTAATTAGCATTGTTACTCTTAAAATAAAATCCACTTGAAATAAGGCAATGCAATTGTGTTTTCTTATTTTAAGTGTAAATTATCTTGCTCTATTGGAAAAATGTCTCTTTTACCTCCTCAGTCCAAGAACAAATGCACTTATTTTAAGAAAAAAAAAGACTTATCTAGATCTTGATGTTTCCAGTGTAATAGTGATGTTCATAACCTTCAGGGAAAGATGCTGGAACCTTCCAGGTCATCAATGTGTTGGTTTGTTGCAGAAAGCTTACAGGGAGGAGGGGAAGAAAGAAGCAGGTCACTGTCTGTACGCTCAGATGCCCCAAACCATCGAAACCGTCTTTGCAAAGGAGGTGACCAAAGCCCAGAGCGATGTAAGTCCCTGCAGCACTTCACATGTTTCAGACACACGATAAACATTCAGGCTTTATCCTCTGTTATTGATTAAAGGCATATTTAATGTGCTGGGTCAGTTTTGAATAAACACAGGGATTAGGTTGGGATTTCTTCTCTGTTCTCTCACATCTCAACTAGCAGATCTTCTGGATGTTGGTGGAGAGGCTGCATTCAGTCTGAAAAATTAAGGTGGCTAAACGTCTGACCCAAATTAAACATGTGAATTAATTACAAGCTGCTGTACGCTCATCTTTCAGCTCTATGCCTCATTAGCTTCCCCTCCCCCACCTCCAAGGAGAAAACAATCAGAAAAACAGTCAGAAACTCAAATATTTAAAATAGTTTATAGGAAACCGGAGGTGAAGTTCTAAGGAGTTTGTGTGAATAGTAAGAAGTGAAGAAGGTTGTTAAAGAGATGGGAGAGACTCACAGTGATGGAGGGTCTTTAAACAGCCCCCCTCCCACTGCTGGGGGGGTGATGTGAGCTTTGGTGTTATTTTATCTGGTGAAGCTTGAACAGAGGGAGCAGCTGCTTCCACAGCCTGGAGCCACAGACGGTGACCTACTGACCAAAGCGCCCACGGAGAGCAGACACTAATGCACAGATTCGTACACATCCCTTTGATTCAGCAGCTTTTTGTTTGTAGTTGCTAAAGCACTGCAGGACTGATTGTTCTAGGGAAGATCAGAGAGGCTAGAATTATTGGCATCTCTAAAAAAAATGTAATATAGTGAAAGGAATAAAATTATGATCTTTTTATGTCTAAAACATTTTAATCGATCACCTATGACTTCCTATGATAGGATCTGACACATCATGAGTTTTTTCCAGTCTTTAAAATGTGAAAGGCATGAAAGCCTAATGATCTTCTTTATTTATTTATTTTTTTTATTTATTTTAAACCAATTGTTTATCACCACAGCACAGAGATGTTAGTAATGATCGGAGCTTCTGGTCCACACATGAGGACAGCTGTTTGGTGTCGCCCAGAGGCCGTGATATTAAAGCTGTTAAACTGGGACGCAGGCCTGATGCTTTACTGGTTTCATGTCACCTGACTGAGCAATGCAGCGCTAACTGGAGCGTATAACGGCAGTTCAGACAGCCCCTCTGTCTGCTGCAAGAAAGCTTCTCCTAAATGATTTCAACAGGAGTTTCTGCTTAATGTGGGAGCGAATGCTCCTCAGGTCTAATGGTTGCTGCCAAACTCTCCTCAGTGTTCTCAGCAGTTCAGTTGGTCCCCCATGTTTTCCTCACTGTGGTTAATACCCTCGTTATTTCCTTTCTTTAATGCCTAATTTTTCTGCCTCACTGCAGAAGTTCTATAAAGAGAAGTATAACCGTGAGAAGGGGAAGTCTGACTACAGCAACATGAAGACGCTGCCTGAGGTGGAGCACGCCATGGAGGTCAACAGGAACCAGAGCGATGTAAAGCTGCTGCACACCCACGCTGCATTAGCCATGCAGAACCAGGCTGTTACTAAACAGGCAGCTTTTTATTTAGCCCAATAATCACATACCGCCATGTTTCTATCTTTCCTCTGCTACTGTAGCCTTCTAATATCTTTGTTTTATGAGTGGATTCAGCGACTCACATTTATTAGAGCACAATTTGCAAAGAACGGTTCTTTTATTGTAGCGGCTCAGTAATTTTTTTTAAATTAAGGAAATCCATCTTATGTTTAGAAACAAATTTCATTGATTATCTCAGTACTTGTGAATCCTGTAAAGTTGATATACCTGTAGTGATTTTGTTAGTTCTATATGTCTTCATTGACATTAAGGTGATTCATGTCTCTAGGAACTTTTCATCAGTCACCTAGGATTTCTCATTTGCCTGGGGAATGTAACTCAGAGGCTCATTTCTCCTCAGCACTTCTCACAGTAGGAAAAAATCAATGCAGAGGCAGGAAATATAAGAGTTGCATGAAAGTGATTTGTAGCTTCAAACTTAAAGTGATTGTTTTTCCATTATTGTTGCAAATAACACTTTTTGTGACTGAAAATTTGAAAAAAGGAAAAAGGCAACCTATAAATGGCCCTTGGAAAGGCTTTCAGAGTCACTTTGCTGTTTTCTTAGACATAATTTTTTCATTTCTTTTTCAATTGCCATTTTCAAACTGAATTAATTATATATATTAGAGGGAAAGGTTGCTCACCCTCAGTAGGGCAGAGTGGCACAGGAAGAGAGGCAAGGAGAAGGCCCGCAAACGCAGGTCCTTCATCGCAAACCCATTTGGATTTGCAAAGAAGCTGCTGGGAGAGAAACACAGTGGTCAGCTCTCATGTCTGAAGGAAGACATCAACCACCACTTAAGGAACACTTACAGTGACGGCATGAGAGACCAAGACCTTGGCCACTGTGAAGCCCTGATATGCCCACCTGAACCCAGTACTCTTTTTGACACCAGAACACCCACCTTTAAGGAGGTCAAAGAGGTAATCAAAGCATCAAGAGCGGCATCAGCACTAGGCCCCAGTGGAGTCTCTTACAAGGTCTTCAAACATTGCCCCTGCCTGCTGGAGTGTCTGTGGAAGATCTTCAGAGTGATCTGGAAAAGACGGAAGGTGCCCCAGATGTGGAAGCATGCAGAGGGAGTATGGATTCCTAAAGAGGAGAATGCGAGGAACATCGAGCAGTTCAGATCAATCTCCCTCTTCAGCGTGTAGTGAAAGGCCTTCTTCAAGGTAGTTTCCAACCGCCTCATGGGATTTCTGCTGAAGAATACCTACATCAATACATCTTTGCAAAAGGGGGGTGTGCCAGGAGTCCCGGAGTATATCGAGCACACTGGTGTAGTGACACAGCTGATCCGGGAGGCGAGAGAGAGCAGGGGCGATTTGGCAGTTCTTTGGCTGGACCTTGCCAATGCTTATGGATCGATTCCGCACAAGTTGGTGGAGTTATCCCGGAGCAGATATCATGTCCCAGAGAAGGTGCGGCATCTCATCCTGGACTATTATGGAGATTTTAGTCTCAGGGTGTCCTCTGGGGCATCTACATCGGACTGTCTTGAAAAAGGAATAATCTCTGGCGACCTCTGTCTCCCTGTTTTCCCTTTCCTTGAATATGTTGGTGAAGTTAGCATAGTAGAGTGCCGAGGCCCATTATCCAAATATGGTACCAGGCAGCCACCAATCCGAGCTTTTATGGATGATCTCATGGTAACTACTACATCAGTGCCTGGTTGCTGCAAGGCCTGGATAGACTAATCTATTGGGCAAGGATGAGTTTCAAGCCTGGAACGTCCAGGTCCCTGGTCTTGCGGAAAGGGAAGGTGACGGACCGCTTCCGCTTCAGCCTGGGAAATACCACTATTTCATCCGTGTCTGAAAAACCAGTGCCTTGGAAAGCTCTTCACTGGTGATCCAAAGGACTGGTTGCTGCACAGCAAGCAACCAGCACCAACCTTAACCAGTGGCTCCTAGCTGTTGACAAGTCTGGACTTCCTGGGAAGTTCTTCATCCAAGAGGTGGTTTGGGTAGAGGTGGAAGAGGCTCGCTTCAGCAGGGTGGTGGGCATGAGCAAGCAGGGAGCCTGGACCAAGTGGGAGCATGTTTCCAGCCATAAGATCACCTGGACTGATGTATGGAGCCACATAATTTCAGGTTCCTCGTCCAAGCAGTGTATGATGTCGTCCCAAGCCTTACTAACCTGTTCACCTGGGGCCTGATAGACTCACCTGTGTGTCAGCTCTGCCAGAGGAAAGGGTCTCTTGAACACATTCTTAGCTGCTGCCCAAAGGCCTTGGGAAATGGCAGATACCGCTGGTGCCATGACCAGGTCCTGCGGGCAATAGCAGATACCATCTGCACTGGCATAAACACCAGCAAGAGTCCACCTCTAACCAGGAGTATAATTTCCTTTGTTCAAGCAGGGGAGAAACTGCAACCCTCCAGGAAGACCCAAGGGGACCTGCTCATGACAGCAAGGGACTGGCAGCTCTTGGTCGATCTGGGGAGGCAGTTGCGATTCCCGGATTACATCGCAGCCACGACACTCCGCTCGGACATAGTGCTGTCATCAACTTCCACCAGGCAGGTTGTGCTGCTTGAACAAACTGTTCTTTGGGAGGACAGAATACAGGAAGCCCAGGAGAGGAAGAGGGCTAAATATGCAGAACTTGTGGCTTAGTCCCGGAGGAATGGCTGGAAGGACAGGTGCAAGCCTATTGAAGTGAGCTTCAGGGGCTTCGCAGGCAGATCTCTACACTATGTCTTTGGACTCCTAGAGATATGCGGTCTGCAGAGACAAAGAGCCACCAAGAACATCTTGGAAGCAGCTGAAAAGGCTTCACGGTGGCTCTGGTTGAGGAGGGGGGTGGCGTGGCGCAGTGTGCTACCTGGACACAAGTCGGGGAACTGATAACCCCCGGCTGGGTGGCCTGAGTGAGGGTGTATGACTAAGACCCGAAAAACCCAGTGATCCCGGGAGAGTCACTGAAGATGTTTCCAGGTTGCACCACTAGGTGTATTACAATTCTTTTCAAATTGGCTGCACATGGATGAAGTGGGTAGCACTGCGATTTGATTATTTCTGCATGGAGTTTGCATGTTCTCCCTGAGCATGTGTGGGTTCTCTCCGGGTACTCCAGCTTCCTCCCACAGTCCAAAAACATGACTGTTAGGTTAATTGGCTTCTCTAAATCCTCCTTTGTTGCGAGTGTGTGCGTGAATGGTTGTTTGTCCTGTGTCGCTCTCTGTTGCCCTGTGATGGACTGGCGACCTGTCCAGGGTGTACCCCCCCTCTCACCCGTAGACAGCTGGAGATAGGCACCAGCAGCCCTTGTGACCCTGCTTGGGATAAGCGTGACGGAGGATTTTTTAAAATTATTGCTCTTTTTCCGATTAAGGGTTAAAGATTACATTATCTTCACTTCAGCGCCCCCACATTGCTCTTGACCAATGAAGACCTTGTTGCTAATGTCCCTGCAGACCAATAGAAGTGGAGAGAATAGGATCTTTGAAATGCAATATGAAAAGAAGGCAATTTGTAAAACTCAGTCTGAAAAAAGAGATATTGTTTTTCTAAAAAGTAATTTGAAAAAAAATAAAAACAAAATATAAAAAAGTTAAATAAGAAAAATGTGAAACATTACATTTGAAAAAAGTCAAAAGTAATGCAAAAAATAAAATGTTTTTATTAAATAACTTGAGAAAATAAAATCCAAGAAAAAAAACAAAGTTACTCTCAAAACCTTTTTCTTCAGTTAGATATTTTTAAAGTTTATTTTCTCTTTCATATTTCCATTTACAAAACTTGTTCTTAGCTTGCAACAATAATGCAAAATGCACTCCATAAATCTGCCCATTTCTACCCTTTATTTTCAATCAGCCTCCGACTTTTAACATTCAGGTCTAGACGCTTTAAACACTGTTCAAATGTCTTTAATTATTGTTGCTCCATTTGGTTGTTTTATTTAGGTTCAGTTTTTCATGCACTTCCACTGCATTTTATTTGTCGTTTGTTTTTGTTTTTCTTGGGCTGCTGCTGCTGATCCCAGGTCAGCTACAGAAAAGGTAAAGACCATCTTCATCACTACAACCCAGAGCCGGACCGACCCGACATCGTCAGCGCCACCAACGCAGCCAAACTGGCGAGTGATGTGAGTCGTCATTTATCTGCGCTAAATATACCTTAGAGCCGTGCATTAGTTTCCATGACAACGGTTGTGTTGAGAAGCTGCTCTCTGAGAGAAGGTGCTGATTAATTATAGAACAATTTCTGCTGTTAACACTGAGCTGTGTTCACATACAGTGGGTCCATAAATGATTTACAGAACCGATCTGTATTCTGGTAGCTTTTTATTTAATCATCTGATCCAGGAACAGCAGGTTTGTTTCTCCTGTGATGTTTGCAGACAGGAGCTCCAAACACAGGATGAATAAAAGGGAAGATATAACAGTGGATTGTATAGTTTTAGTGACACTTTAACAGCTATTTATGAGCAGACTCTTTTATAACTTGTGATTGACAGGTGGCCTATAAGAGTAAAGCAAAGCAGCAGGTCTGCACCGATGAATCCCTCCTGTCCAGAACCGACCTCCTGCACGCCAAAGAGGTTTCCAAACTGGCCAGTCAGGTAACAGACAACTCCCCACCATTATTTAGATTCAACCAGTTCAATTGGTAGGAATAAACACCTGTCTGTCCTGCAGGTGAAGTACAAATACCAGCATTTAAAGGGCCAGAAACCATGTTACAACCCCATGGACTGCGTCTCTTTCAAACACTCACAGGCTGCTGCTGCTCTGGCCAGTCAGGTGGGAGTTTTATCTCTGAGTAAAAACCTTCCCTGCATGTTTTCTGGGATCTTAGAAGATCTGAAGCAGATCTGTTGATTTGAGGTTAAATCCAGAAAAAAGGAGGGTTTTCTACTTTGTTTTATCCATTTAAGCAGAATCAGCTCCACAGCATGATGCAGCCGCCACCATGCTTTACAGTTCTGCAGTTTTCTTCATGTTTGGAAGTCGGATTTGTTGTTATTGAAGCCAAAAAGATCAACATCTGGAAGAGTGGTTCCAAAGTGGGGGTCATGAGTCAGCTAGTGGTGGTGGAGGGGGATGTGTGTGTGTAGCGGGGGAGGGTCACTGTGTTGTCATAGACGAGGTATATGGAATGTCTAAATATATATATGTATATATATGAAATTACTAGATGAGACATTTATTTGTATATATTTTTATAACAGTGGGGTGATCGTTCCTTTTTTAGTAACGCACCTAAATTGTGGACCAACCGTCCCCCTCGGTCTGTGGGTTCTCACAGATCTGCACCTCTTTAACTCCAGATTAAAGACTTGTTTTTTAAAATGTCTTTTAATACTTGGGACACATTGTTTTACGCTTATGATTTTGGTCTTTTTTGGGTTTTTTTTGCAATGTTTTAATCTTTCTGTGAAGCACTTTGGTCTTCCTGGTGTCGCTGTAAAGTGCTATATAAATGAACTTTGATTTGATTTTATCAAATAGATCATTTAAATATTAAATATACCACTAAGTTTTAAAATGCTAAATTAAATTATTCAAAATACATTTAAAATGCTGAACTAAATAATAGAATGTCATTAATTAAAGTCGTGGGGAATTCATATTTAAATGTCAAATCATTCTGTCTTAAACATGTAAATAAATGTACTATTTACTATATTGTCCCAAAAGTTAGAACATTTCTATAAAAAAAAAATCCTGTCTTAAAATCTGTGGGGGGTTTTTCTCGTTATCTTCTTCAGGCCAGTTAGTTATACATCAGCTTGTACACCTAAATTCGTCCAATCGTATATCAACGGTCATCTGTCAATCAGATTATTTTGGTCATAGCATTTTGAGTCATATGTTGCAGCTAATATACGCAATGGTTGAAATAAGAACTAAGAATAATTTCCTTTCCCATTGAGTTCCGTCCCAGTGTTCACGGGGATGGACGTCTGTGTCTTCAGCAGGCGTAGAGCTAACAGAACTGGCAGCGTTGCTAATTCACCAATTTAGTGCTACTTGGTCCCAATGGAATTTCCCATTGGGAACCTGCTAGCACTAAGTTGCTAACTGGTTAGCAAGATGCTTCCAACAAACCGGCCACAACCATTCTTGCTTGAGAACCTTCAGCCACAACAATCCCGCCCCCTTGATAATCGACCAATCACATTCACTGTATTCACTCGTGTAAAGTCGGGCACCACTCGGGAGAATTCGGAAATGCAACGGTTGGAACATCCGATGTTTCTATGAATAGAATTACCTCACTATATGTATAAATAAATATGGAGGTAAATATATATGTATTTTTTAGGGGTTGCCTGTTTGTTGTATTATACATTTTTTGGGGTCACAGAATGAAATAATTGAATTAAAATCTTTGGTTTAGAGCATCATCTAACCTTTCTGTCTATGGTGATAAAAACTGGAAGCATTTTGTGTTTTTTGCATCTCTTCCCCCTAATGTGGAGCAATCCTGTTTGTTTCTTCCATGTCGATAAAAAAATAGAGAAATCTTGATGGCTATCAAATTTGTTCCAATCTTTCAATTTAAGCCAAGCAACTTTTATCTGATAGTTAAAAAAATTAGTTAAAAATAGTTAAAAAAGGTTCCCAACTTTTTAGCTTACTGTATAACTTAGTATATTGTTTGGATTATAATAAATAAAAATAAACTGTTTACCATTGGTATGGTATTGATAAAAAACAAAAAAAAAAACAAAAAAAACAATGTATCTACTTTTCTCTTTTTCTACTTGATGGTTTCATCGGTGAAGACTTAATAATTATTGTATTTATTGTTAGCTTAATTCTGTGGAGGATCTTAAGCTCCTCCACAGAAAGTGTGACCCAACTTTGGGAATCAGTGATCAAAATAATAAAACTCTGTTTTAGAAGCACAAATCTTAAAATAAATACATAAAGTATTAACTCTGCTTATATATTATAGTATATTAGAGGATTAAGTTTTTATCTTATTAAACCTCCCATAGACATAAAGTTCTTATTTAAGTTTCTTGCTTTCAGGCAAGTTTTGAGACTTTCTGAGTGCTTCATCTAAACTCTAATGTGGATGTTATGAAGCTGATAATCCCTTACATGGAGGCAAACATAATCCATCTTCAGCTCCAGATTAAAACATCGAGGTTTTCTGAGAGGAAAATCTCCCTCAGGTCGTTGGGTTTTTGTTCAGACGTTCTGTGTTCGGATCACCTGCAGTTTTCTCTTCAGCTTCAGAGATAAACAAACCCAGGAGGAACAAACCGCGTCTGTTGGTTTGTTTTTCGCTCTCTGACATCCAGCATGTTGCGTGGAAGTAACCATGGCAACCCTTTCTGAGGCAAATGAAGAGGGACTGTGGGATGGAAAACAGGAAAAGGTGAAGAGGTTGCAGGCAGACACACAAACATGATGGCTGGAAACTCTTTCCTAACTGGACCTGTGATCCCAGCTGTGATCCTGAACCTGGAAAGGTCCTCCGTGTGGAAACGTCTCACCGTGACGCTTCACGATGAGACGGCTCCCACACTAACAGTGCGCACACACCGCTTCGCTTTCGCTGCCCACACCGCCACAGCGTTACGTAACGGCTTGTTGCTGAACGCTGCCTGGTGTTCAGGAACGCCGGAGCTGCTTTTCAGTAAATCTGCTGCTTGAAAGGAGGCCTTCACCCCTGTGGGCAGACGGACCGACCCGATTCTGGTTTCAGGAGAGACTGGCACCGGTTAGAGCTGAGTTTGGCAAAGAGGAAAGAGAAACCTGTCCAGAATTCAAGTTATGATCAGAGATGGTGCCGGGATTAAAGCTTCATGACATTTAAACCAGAGTTTTGGTTAAAATGCTTTAAGAAGAGTCTCTTCGTTTACTGTTTGTCATTTTTCTTCCTAATTCTTTTGATAAATACAACAAAGAAGAAAAGGAGTGCATTTATGTTGAACTAAGCTCTTCATCCTGATGTCTGCAACTTTCTAATTATAGAAAAAGATTCAGTTAAGATATTAAACAATACAATTTGTGTAAGATGTTGTGATATTAGAAGAAAATAAAATGATTTATTCATTCCTAAATATTTTGGCACTAAAATATTTTGCTTATCTGAGTCTTTCAAACTCAGCTCTTCATCCCGTATCTTTAGGAGCTTTTCTGTGACTGATTTGATGCTCTTCTAGATTTTGATTTCTGACTTTCATATAAACCGCTGACTTATTTCCAAGAAGTTTCAAGAACATAACTTGAACTTTCTAGAATCTGCCTGGAAGTCCCCTGATACTTTCTGACGATTTTCCTTTTACTTCATAGTGCATACAGATCTCTTCACTCCCATAAACTCTTCTGAAAGTTCTAGGATCTCATTTAATGCTTTTCCAAAAGTTAAGTTGGTTTTCAAAATGTGTTTGGAAATGATTGAGTGCTTTCCTCATCTGATTACTCACAGGAACAGAAATCAACAAGTAAAGTCTTTCTTAAGTGAAGTTCTGGGAAGTACCTACAGAACCTTTTAATATTCTGATGGTTTCAGATCCCTAACACGTGTTTCTATTAAACATTAAAATAAATGTTTCAGCTGTGAATAGAAAAGTTCAGAGCTGCTCCTATTTCTCATCTGTTGTTCTTGAAATTCTTCTTAGTCTGACGTCTGAAATGAAGTTGTTTACTAATCAACAGTAAAAGGCTTCAGTACTTTAATGTTAAACTGTCCTTTATTTCCCAGGTGAAGTATAAGACCAACCAGAACCAGAGACCCGAAGGTTCCTCGGATGTTCCGAATCTCCTGCAGCTGGAGCACGCCCTGCATGCCAGCAAGCTCCAGAGCAATGTACGCACACTTTATATGGCTGCATGTGGGGCCAGCAGATATTGATGTACTTTAACACAGAGGGGTGTGGCTGGTGCAGAATTCTGCTTTTGTCTTTAATTTTACTGTAGAGGCATATTTAGAACCTAGCTTTCTGGTTTTTAACCTCCTGGTGTCTGTGTGTTCTCAGCTTGAATATAAGAAGAAGTACAAACAAACGAAGGCCCACTACCACAACGCCCTGGATACGGCAGAGCAGCTCCACCACAGGGAGAACGCCGTGCTGCACAGCCAGGTTCCACCGTCAGACTCTCCCAGTCAGGCTTTGGCTTTGATGTTTTTTCCTCTTGTTTGAGTAGTTGTTGCTCTTTTTTAGGTGAAGTACAAGGAGGAGTATGAGAAGAACAAGGGTCGCTCCCTGATGGAGTTTGGAGACACTCAGACCTACAAAGTGTCCAAAGAAGCTCAGAAGATGCAGAGTGAGGTAACCCATTCCTCTTACAAAATATTTAAAATGTGGTTGTGCATGGCAGGAGTCGTGTTACTTTAATTTCATGTTTAAAAATATAGGTTTCCCAGTGGTCAAACAGCAAACTGAATTATCACCTCTACTGCTTTCCATTAGCATTAAACTCATGGCCTAGCTAATTTAGATGATAGTAATATAGAGAGAGTTGTAATCGACATAGAAGAACCTAAAATATCACTCTATGCTGATGACATGTTATTGTATTTACTGAAACCTTGTCAGCAATGCTATATTTGATGGACCTTATTTCAGAATATGGGTATTATTCAGGATGTGAGGTAAATGCATCATGTAGAAAGAAACGGTACAATCCCAGATAGTATTAAAAAACTGCAGTGGATTTAAATGACCAAACTATTTTTCAATTCAGTTCAGTTTATTTCTATAGCGCCAATTCACAACACATGTCATCTCAAGGCACTTTACAGTTCAC